CAAACTCATAGCAAACCAACATCGGGCTATCTGCTGTGTCCACCGACGGGAATCGAACACCTGAGTTTAGCGTTGTAAATTCGAAGACTTATCGCTGTCCCACCGGGGTACAATACAAACAACCCAAACATTAACTAAAGATAATGTTCGTATATCTGTGAACAAATAATATAAACTAGAACTTGACTTTCTTAGTGCAACTAATATATTTTATATGTCTTTAAAGGTTTACTTATCTTTCTCTCCAATATTTAGTTATCAACATTTGCAATGTGGTCTTCATGAAATTCGAACAAAGTGTGGTTTAACAATTGATGTGGTGTAAACACCTTTAGCTAGCGAAGTGTGATTATAATTAATCATTATATAAAAAGTGGGATTTTGCCGTTACTCTTATAACAAACAATAACAGGACGCGAATAATAGACCATTCTCAGAGCGAAACGCTGAAATATCGGAAGAAAAACGGAGCTGGTAAGTTTCTTTCAACCATCAACGTATTATTTTAAATGCAAACGAAATAAACTGCAAAAACATATGTGTTTGAAAGTGATCGAAATTAATATTATTATTTTTACAAAACTTATATTAATTCACGTTGTGTTTTAGTCATTTTATCTGTGAACGTCTCCAACAATTTTGGAGCTAGCAGAAAGAAACTTTGCAGGAGGCTCAGGAGGGTTACTTTTCTATATGGGATAGCCAATTTATCAAGGTTGGGGGCTAAAACACGCCCAGAAGGTCAATCATGCATGATGAGGTTTAGGAGTAGGTTTTCAAGGTATCTGAACCTGAATCTGGAAACAGATGATTTATTCCTTGATCCTCTTGGGATCCGGGGCACTGTGTTTGAAAATATGGCTGTATCCCCTTTCAAAAGCTAGCGGGATTACGAGTGGGTGCATGTTCTAACGGGGTTTGTTATCGGGTAACTGTAGAAACAATTGCTGACAATGAAAGAGCTTGTTCGGTATATTGGGACCTATGTGAGTCATGAGGGGATATTTTATTATAATATTTAGAACTACGAAATAAAGAGGAAAAGAATATATACGGTCCGAGAAACATAAAATATTCTCATTTTAAACTTTGGAATGTTAGAACAAAGAATTACAAAATTCTAGAAGCAATACGCTATATCGATGTTGTTTGTCATTAAGCACGAAGCTACACAACGGGGCTATCTGTGCTCTGCCCATCACGGGTATCGAAACCCGATTTCTAGCAGTATAAGTCTGCAGACATGCTATATCGAGAAAAAGTATTTCTCTATTTTATATCGAAGATGAATAAAAGACAATGATTCGTTATAGCTCGTCGAAATGTTAGGTATGATAGACATAATGAATAGAATATGTAAAAATGAATGGAACAAATATATTCAGTTCTATTTCTCAGAATTAATAGTAAGTTGAAGATTCACGCTGACATCCATTTTGATTTGTATAGTCAATATGAATGACGTTGGCTAAAATGGCAAAGATGATGGCATTTATAGCTTCTTTGTGAACCTGATCAAACTGAACTTTCAGACAAAGATATCAAATAGACGAAAATGATCCATGATTTGTCGCTCTTGAGATAGTAGATGGAGTTTTCTTTAGTAGTTGTCAATGAGTACCTTATTAGTGATTAATACAATAACATCTAAAGTTTCATTCACTTAAATATAATTTTGTTTCAAAAACTGTTAATACAACAAAAGTTATATGAGCTTTTCTTTGTTTCTAAGACACTTTTGGGTATATTGAGATGCATGTTCAAGCTACTGTTTACTTATCAGAATTACATTACTAGTTTAATAGGTGAGAAAGTAGCCTACGAAGGAGTCATTAGGCTACTAACAACCGTTCTAGCGGATATATATATATTTGTGTGTATGTGTATACAATAAAAGTTATGTCTGCGGATTTACAACGCTAGAAACCGGGTTTCGATACACATGGTCGGTAGAGCACAGATAGCCCATTGTGTAGCTTTGTGCTTAACTACAAACAAACAAAAGTTACGTTTTTTTAATGACATGTGACATGACTCTAACCTCATCTAACTCAAAAATCTGGTTTCCTTTTCGTACCATTCCGTAATAAGAGTTAGTTTGACAATAAGTTTAATAAACATGAATTAATAAAAATAATTCGATAAACCTTCCCTTTCCTAGAGCGCAAGTACTTAAGAATTTTTAAAAGCTAGTAGCCAAATTTTAATTTGTTTTATCCTTTTATCCACTTTTACAAACATAAAATTCAAATTTGCATAAATCTAAAGACCGCTTGAACGTGTTAAGGTAAATAGTTTGTTTGATTCTTGTTAAACACAAAACTACACAATGTGCTATCTGTGCTATGTTTACTATGGGTATCGACGCCCGATTCTTAACGTTGTAGGTCTGTAGACTTACTGCAGAACCACTGGGGATCTTTGGAAAATAGAAACAAGTCCCTGAATAAATCGAGACCAATTAAATTATTGTTAACATTTTTATGGTGACATTATTGTTGAAATGACTGTTGTTATTGTTTAATAATGAAAATTGATTGTAAATTAATCTCTGTGGTGTTAAAAACTTTGAAAATGACGTTTTAATTCTACCTGGTATAATGAAAAAAAGTTAAAAGTCTCGTTTGTGGCTCAAGAGGGATCCAAATAATTTGAACATGTGAATAAAATTAGACTTTCATCCATAATAGGTAATGATGTTGTTATTTTTTATAATGAACTATCTGCATCATGTTGGTTAAACTGGAATAAACGATAACATCTAATGTTTCGGTAAGAACCTCCTCAAATTGAAATTTTAGACAAAGATCTACATTTCAAACCAAATTAAAATGATCTAAAGTTTGAGACTGATCTTAAGATCAAAGCTAAAGCTTGCAAGGTATTTCTGTGAGGATGAGGATATCCTTACTGTTTTACTTCAATAGGAAATTGTAAACACTGCAGTAAACCAATGCCTTAACATACGTATAGGCATGACTTAAAATACTTTTTATGCATAAAGTTCGTTTACAGGAAATTTCTCTAAATACTTTGACACCATTGAAAAAGTAGCTAACGCAATCACATTGCTGGTACTTAGGACTGAATAAATGTGTTTTGCGGTTATCATTCAGTGCTTTATTATTGAATAATCCAATTACCACGTTATTAAGAAGCAGACCTAGAAAGAAAAGATGTAATTAAGACTAATACTGTTAGCTTCTCGCGGTCTCGCAAAGGATTTAAATTAATGATGCATAATATAGCAGTCGATAGGATGTTTGGTCATTTTTGTGGCTAGAACCTGAACGTGGCTCATAGTTTTGCACAGAATGATAGTCAGTTTTGCACGAACAAGGTCACATTAGACGTTAGAGATCATGATCATTCATTGACCTGAAGAGTTAAGGCAATTTTTCTGATGTAGCAAATATAACGACACATTAACGCTATTCTAAGTAACTTGGTATTAATGATGAACATTACCTTGCAAATGATCTATCAGCTATAACTTAACACGAAGATCCAAATCATCTGCTGTATTATGCCAAAATGTACTAGACAAACACAAGTTTGTAGTACGTTTTGTGTAGCTCACCAACATATTTCGAAGTAAAATGGTGAAGGTATAAGATTATAGAAAGTACTGTGTGATCTAGAGACCCATATTACTTCCAAAAACTCCATTAACCCTAGTGATAGCGTTTTTCAACACATACTGGTGGCCTGTATTCACATTACTTGGGTAGAAAAGCGGTTACTGTATAGGTTTCATAATGTGTGCCTGCACAAAATTCCATGCAAATCTCGACTTTGTAAAATCTAACACAATGTTGAGCATTCTGCAATTACAGAAAAAATATTTCAACAGTGATCATCTTTTATTTCTAGCCTCGGAAACATCCAATTGCGGATTAGTATTTAAAAAAGATGTGGTTTATATTTCTATCCATGAAAAATTGACTTGTACAGCTCATTAGAGAGCCACACCAATAAAAGTGGAGTAACTAGCTACCCCCCAGTAGCTCAGAGGTAAGTCTGACGGCTTGTAAAGCTAAAAACCGTATTTCGATACCTGTGGTGAACTTTATGCTTAGCAACCAAACATCAAGCAAAAGAAAGCTCTATTACACTACATATCCATCCTCTAACTGGTCTGAGAGCTGAAATTATTTAAACAGGTAAGAGAGTTCGAAGAAAGTCAGGTGAGAAATGAAGGCTGTGTATAATTCCTGTTAATTTATCGTTCCGTTATTGTTGGTGATTTAAAGTTTCAAAAATTCTGCCGTATCTAAGATAAGCTTTATGACTAATGGCTTAATTCTAGCTGTATTATAGTATTTAGGTTGAATTTCCCCATCGAAATAAAGTCCTTCTTTGGTACTAGTGTAAATATTGTCACATGTATTTGGCAAAAATAACCAGTTCATGGGATAAAGAAGTTTAGCTAAGCCAACTCTTCATGTTCTACACATACAATACGTAGAGTTAATCAGGTATGTATAGGGTTAAAATATTTTGGGCACTAAATTTTTTCGAATTATTTGGTAAAAAATTGAAACCGATCCACCATTGTTTATGCCATAAGCACAATAAAGTATTCCTATATATATAAGAGTCAAGTCTTGTGTGGTTGTCTAATTATCAATCTTGATGTCATTCACAAGTAATTTGTGCTTCCTGCATGCCTTGTGTTGGAGTTTTTATAAGAAGTGCATAGTAACAGAGGAAGTATAAATGATTAGGTGTTTAAAGGAAATTGGACAGTTAGAGACTCAAATATTTCAGATGAAGTGCTTGGGCTCATGACTCCATTACCATTACAAAAGTTTAGTCTGGGAACATCGTAGTCGAAATGCTGATCAGGAATCAATTTAGATACTGTCTTGATTCAGTATTTCAGATGAAGTGCTTGGGCTCATGACTCCATTACCATTACAAAAGTTTAGTCTGGGAACATCGTAGTCGAAATGCTGATCAGGAATCAATTTAGATACTGTCTTGATTCAGTATTCAGTGTTTACAAAGTTTCTCAGTATAATATTCAGCTTTGTATTTTTGCAGTTATCGCTTTATCAATTCAACATTACGGAAAGCTATGTTCATATAGTCTTATGTATCTTTGTATGAAATTCTTAAGCAAACAAACAAAGATATATGTGCCTGTTAACGAAGATCTTGTGTGAGAATTGTGACTATCGCAGAAATCTCGCACAATAAATATATTTCAAAAGATTGGCGAAAGAAATAAAACTAATTTGTCTTACTTATTTTTGTTCTAATACAAAATCATAAGAATTATTTTATCACATTTTTTTTTTTCGTGTAAATAATCGTTTACAATTTCATCCTTACAAACTTTTTCACACAGTCTTCGTCTTGGCAGCAGATATGTTGTGGTCCTTAACGACTTTAAAGCTGTGAAAGAAGCTTTAAGTAAGGATGCTTTCCTTGGACGTCCTCCAGACATACAATTCCGTACCTCAGAAATCACTAGTAAGTGGCAACTATTTAATAAGTGTTTTATGTTTTAATAGAGGTATGTTTATAAATTAATGAATCAGACTAACCATCCAGTATTTCATTATGGAGTTAATATCAATACGTTAACGTATGTATTTACTTGGAACCTGTGTATTCAATATTTCATGCCCAGTTTAATACTTTATGTTCTGGTTATGATATAACAAGTGATTTCCAGATACATTATTAAAAATATTAATGCACGTGATATGGGTTGTACTGGAAGATTTTTTGTTTTACGACATATATTTTGAATGTTTCATGAACATGTTCTACCCCCGTGATATCATAACATTAACCACATAATAACAAACGAAACTTCAGGTTATCTTTTGGATCAGCGAGGTTACTACACGGTCATGTTCATGTCGAGGAAAAGTCATGTTTACAATATTTCTTTTCTAATAATCAATTTGATTCTGAAACAGCTATGTTTATAATTCAGGTGTGGCAGTTTCCAACGGCATTGCATGGAAAGAACAACGCCGTTTCTCACTACACGCATTAAGAGATCTTGGATTTGGAAAAACAAAAATGGAAGATCATATCAAGGTTTGCTTTATTGCCATCTCTTTCATGGGGAAGTTTCGTATAATTAACTACTTTATTCAACAGCTAAGCTAATTACTATTGTTTCAAATATAATTTAAAAACATTTTAAGTACGTTCTTGAACTAAGCTTTTTCTTGTATTTGTGAAATTCATGTCAATCGTTTTTCACAAAAGCCTTATAGTAATCAGTTATTAGGTAAAATTACGCTTAATTTTCTTTCTAAAGACCAGCGAAGAGCAAAGAATATATGAATAATGCTTGCATTTGTTTTCAGGAAGAAGTTAATGTTATTCTGGAACAATTAGCTGCCTGTAAGGGTAAGCCAGAGGACCTACGTAGGCTGCTTGTTCCCAGTGTGTCCAACAATATTTCTGCTCTTGTATTCGGGAGAAGATTTGACTACAACGACCCAAAGAGACAGTTCCTTGATGAACGACTTCGAGAAGCCCTTGAATCTTTTCAGCAATTCAGTCTATACACTTTCTTTCCATGGTTAAAACACATCGTGCTGAAGTTGAGACCTGGAATCTACAAAAAATTCTTGACAAGTATTGAAAAACTACAGGAATTTATTAAGTGAGTTCAGTTAGTTCTTTTTTTAAACAAACATATGTCAGAACACTCAAAGGTTTACATTTGTAATGAGCATCAAAAGAGCAAGAAAAAATTAACAATAATCTAAAAATAAAATAGCAATTTATCTGGAAAGTTATGTGGGATACAAGAACTGCATGGCCTGGTGGTTAGGGAATTCGCAATCTGTAGGTTCGAATCCCTGTCACCGAACATGCTTGCCCTTTCAGCCGTGGGGGCGTTATAATGTGACGGTCAAACCCACAATTCGTTGGTAAAAGAGTAGCCCAAGAGTTGGCGATGGGTGGTGTTGACTAACTGCCTTTCATTTAGTCTATCACTACTAAATCAGGGAGGCTAGTGCAGATAGCCCTCGTGTAGCTTTGCACGAAATTCAAACCAAATCAAACAATTGTCCAAAACAGTTTTGCATGACCATTTACATATTCTAGTCAGTTTTTAACTCAAACTGTGCAGTCTGTTTTGAGAGCCAATAGGCTTCCATTTTCGTGGCAAGAAGGAAAAATAGAATTTAATGTGTGTACAAACATACTTAAAGGCACATTAAAATCATATACTCGAATCCCCAGTTAATCAATATTTAACAGATTTCCTAACAGCATGACAAGGAGGTTGAACCTGATAACTGAGAGAAGTTAACAGTATACTTTGACATCCATTTCTAGCTCGTGAAGATTATTTTTATCTTAATAGTTTTGAAACAAAAACAGATGCACAAGAACTATGTAATAATAACAAATAGTGTATCAGTTTTTATGTTCATAATAAATTGTTCTAAGAATACTCTTTATGTACACCAGATAATACTAGAGTGTGATATATTGGTTCTTATTTTAATAATACGTAGGGTTGAGGACATTATATTACAACAGTTTTCAATATGAAAATCAGCAAGCCACAAGACAATCTCAGCTGATATAAAGTCGCAGTGGAACGAAATGTTTCAGAACTAAATTTTGAAATTGTTTGGTGTTTTGTAGGTTGTACGATGTCACCGAAAATAAATCGTTTTTATTAAAGGGTATGTAAGAGCAACCTTTTCCGACACAAATTATTCATACACTCAGATCATAAAGATATATTGAGATTGGAGATTTAGAGCTTCCAAGATTGGGGATATCCCTTATACATAATGGCATTAGAAAACAAAGGTATATGGATTAACTTCGAGAATCAGGACCATCCAGAAAGAGATCTGCAACAAATTGTACCCAAACCGTGGTAAGAAAAGTGTAGCATCTTGAAAAAAGATCCAAATCCACAAGCAGAAAGGTCAGTGACAAAAGTCATCCATTTGCTCCAGGCAACAGTACAGAACATAATCAATGTACATTTCTATTACATGTCCAGGAGAGGAAAACCAACTATAGAAATCTGTATGAACGGTACCTAGCCATAGAAGAATGGCAGTATGAGATGACACACAACGAAGTGTTTGTGCACCTTGGTAACTGTAACAAGTCACATACCATTTTCTACTGCTCAATGGATGAAAATATTTCAAAGAGTGCTACAGGACAGGTAAGATAAAAAATCACTAGATACTGTGCTAAGTGCAAATTAGGGATCAGGAGAGTAGATACAAAGATCAAGGTGAACTTTGCTTCTCTACTATCAGACCAGTGCTCTGGATCCTTTGTACCATTCATAAATACAGGCTTTGTATGGAAACAAATCTAATAGGGTATAGGTTCACCAAGATAAGGTTTTCAGTGATACCTACTGTTTAGCCGTCACATACCTTGAGAAGCTGGAGAATAAAACAAGTATTCATGCTATTCCATATGAATACATACTAACCAAGCCACCTGACCCAGATCCTATTGATTTCTTTGTAATCAGACTGTTGAAACGAGTGTTTGGAAACCTTCTTCCTCGTACACTAGATGTATAATGGAAAACAGCTGGGAGGAGTGGTGTGCTTTTAACACGACAGCTTTACGACGAAGCCTTTTTGCAATGGAAATAACACTGCAGGGTTGGCAGACAGTGCACGACTGGACTTTAATTACATGGTGAAATGAAAAACATAGATTAGGATTGTTTAGCAAGTCTAAAATCATGTTGATATTATTGTTACTATATTGAGAAAATTTAAATAATACTATATTTAAGAAATGTGTACAAGTGTAATTCTGAGTACAAAATTTCATCATTCTGTGAATTTCAGTGACGAAATCAAAACTCACGAAGAAACGTTAGATGAAAACAATATCCGTGATTTCATTGATGCATTTTTGTTGGAGATGAAGAAACGCCAAAACAAAAACGACACTTCAGAAACTTTTAACAGTAAGTCATGTTCAAGTTCTCTTTAGATATTTTTACCATTATACAGATTTATGTTTATATTATGCTCAAAAGAAATGTTAGACAGCAACAAATTTAACTCGGTAATAAATGTTGTTGGATAGTCAGCATGGTTTCACTAGGAGAAAATTTTGTCTTAAGTAATCTTTTGACATTGTTGGAGGAGATTACTTATTATCTAAATGAAGGTATGGGTGTGTATCTGGATTTTTCAAAAAAACATTTGACTAGGTGGCACGTAAAAGACCTTTACACGAAAATGGTATAACTAAGGCCAACAAATAAATTACTATGCTCAATATCACACGTAATTGTAAGATATAAACAAACCAAATCAGGGTTTTTGATATTATTACTTACCTCATCAGTAGTTCACATGGCATACACATAATGCTAAGCTCACGTGTATTTGTGGTTTTTGAAAGAGAAAACATACAATTTTGTGCATATTTAAACCTTATTAAATCAGTTTACAAAAACGAAACCTGACTTTGCTATAAACATTAAGCAAGATCCGCTGTGCGAGATAACGTTAATTTGAAATATGATCTAAACTGTAGAATTTACCTGGCAATGTGTGCCTCACAGTCTAGATAACAAAATAATTAAATCCTTACCCTTTATTTGCTGCTGGTATGCTTTTGAATTCCGATTTTAATGGCACGATTGGACAAAAATGGTGACCCTGTTCCTCCTGAACAGAATGCCAGTCTATCCCAGGTTAACCTGTAACTAACAGCTAGTAAGTAACCATCATACAGTTGGGTAGACTGGAACAAGTGTGGTAACATGTCTTATTCAAGGACAAAACAGCTAAGTGTCCAAAACGCGAAGCCACAGAGCCATGCTGACCATTAGTAATAAAAGTCCCACAAAATTATTCAACAAAGAGATTCTTACCTTTTATTGTATTACATTGTTCTTTAACACTCAAAATGAATATAATGTGTTTGGCAAATTCACTAGAATAATTCATTACTGCCAGTAACACTAAAATTTTCAATTAGTGTATGAAGACTCAAGTACAACTTACAAAGACCAAATATTCCAATATGTAAAGCAGTTGCACACAAATTAAAAGTTTTTGTAACCCAGTATAATTTCTAAGTTGGTTTTTGTACGATAATTTTAGTATTCTTCCAGGAAGTTCTATGTTTACTTCTGCAATATGTTTTTTTTTATAACTTCTAACTTTCCTTAACTTGTTTGCAAGTTTATATCAACTTATTTTCTAATTTAAGGAAACAAAATTGTTTTATTTAGCGTTTCACTCCTTCACTTTACGAAACGTTTGTACATGCCAAATAAGATTCATTTTTGTGTATTGAAAGTATGTACAATGGAGCTTTGCTTCTTTTTCCTTTTAGTGGAAACGTTAGTAGGAACTGTGCAGGCACTGTTCGGTGCAGGAAGTGGAACTGTTCTTGCAACTGTTCACTGGCTACTTCTGACAATGGCAGTTTACAGGAATGTTCAGGAACGTGTTCAAAAAGAAATAGATAATGTTATTGGACGAGAAAGACCTCCTTCTTGGTCTGATCATACCAATCTTCCGGTTACTCGGGCTGCTTTAATGGAGGTTTATAGATGGCAAACTGTGGCGCCTCTCAGTATTTTGAGATAGTAAGTATCATTTACCTTTGGTACTGAAGAAATATACCAAAAACATGAAACTTATTTCATGTATTTAACATTAATTGTCTAGTTTGTTTCACAAGCCAACTACTTTATATATTAATATAACCAGAAGAAACGTAGCAAGCTAAAATGTTTTACCACGTTAACTTGTACATTGTCAATTTCCAGTACACTGAGTAACAGCTATTTAGTGAATTTTTACAGATAAACATATTTTTCTGTATCTGTTATTTTGAATAACAGTTGTTGGCCCCCTGGTGGCTCAGCGGTAAGAGTGAAAACTTGCGACGCTAAATGTCGTGCTTCGATATCCTCGGTGGGCACAATACAGATAGCCTATTGTTTCGCTTTGTGCTTAACAACAAATAAATAAAACAAAATCCTAATTGTTGAACAATAAATAACAAGGAACTATATTCGTTTTTTTTTAATACATAAAGCACATTAGAAGATACCACTGTGCAAGGGTACAATATCCCTGAAGGGACTTACGTGATGACAAACATATGGGCTGTCCACCATGATAAAGCCTATTGGAAAGATCGTGAGTTATTTTGTCCAGATCGATTTCTTAACCAAGATGGAACTTATGTGGAGAAACCAGAATATTATATACCGTTCTCGTTAGGTTAGTAAATATGGTAGATGTTAGAGATGTTACCAATAAATATAATGTACTGACTGGTTTTGTTTTGACTAGACTTCAATCTAATTTAAGAAAATGAGTATAAATAAGGCAAACGAAGAGATACTAACATGTATTCTAGAAATATATAACTTAGGTTTTATTTCCGTTGAAACACGAATTATGAAAATTATATAACTTCCTATTAATTTGTGTAAAATAATTGAAGTTGAAAATAACTTGCATTTTTAAAATAGTTTAGCCTAACTAAACTATTGTTTGTAAGATGAAAATTTTAGTAATGGAAATTACAACTAATTTTAAAGCAATGCGTATAAATATAAGAACTTAATTCATACATGTCTATTTGTAATTAGGACTTAACGCAGGTTTAACTTAATGATCTTGTAGTATTATTTACAAGTATTACGTTATACACTATAATATAACTTAATTATTTACGTTACAGGAAAACGTAATTGTCTTGGAGAGACTTTAGCTGAAGTTGAAGTGTTTCTATACTTTACCTCAATACTTCAACGTTTCACAATTGCATTGCCAGAAGGTGTTAAGCCTAACTTTGATGCTACTTTTCAACTAACTTTGGAACCGGAACATAACGATTTTTGTTTTTTTCCCAGACAGTAGTTGTCGATTTTTTAAATAGTTGTATTTTAGAACACTTTGTAGTCATAAAATTAATTGAAGTATATTTAGGAGTTTTACTTGGAAATGATTTATAAGTGCTTTGGATGATAATATTATTATACCCTACTAACATAAGTTAACCCTATAATTTCATAGTATAATTTTGAATGGTGTTTGTCGTTATTGTCGCCTATTTTGTTTTCAAATTTTACTGATACATTTATAGCTTTGTTAGAGCATATTTTTGAAAGAAATTAATATTGTTGTACTACTACACAGATTTGGAATTAACTATCTTAGATGTTTTACTGCGTTAATCATTTGCATCGGAACTGTTTGCAGTCAACTCAAGTCACGTAAAAAAATAAAGTTTCTATTATTATTAAATTAAAAAACAAACAAACTACAATTCGTTCACTTTTTGAATATTTCTTAAGAAGTGTGTACTACTTAAATATCATCCACGTATTGTAGTATAAAATAAATATTTATCTTTTGATTCTCCAGACAAAACGAATATGTATTTATGTGAATAATTCTTAATCTTTCACAAGAATTACTGATTTTTTGATAGTATACTAGTTCTATTTCTAATTTTCAGTACTTTCACTGTGTGTTATAATCCTTATATCTAAATTTTAATCCTGGTTTCGTTACTCTAAGAAATATTGATCATTATAACAGAGTGAATAAAAAAAATAAAGAGTTTTGTTTCAGTGAGAGTTGTAGTTTTAGTTTAAGTTGTAGAGCAATCTAATAAAAGTGAGATGTTGTCACTTTATTTTTGTCACAAAAACAATATGTGTTGAATTTCTACAGTTCTGATACCCAGTTTGACAAAGGGAAATGGTAATGACATAATATTTTCCGATTTAAAGGCCTTCACAACATAAAAGTTGTAATTACTTAATTTCTGTTATGGATTAAAGGTAAATATGATTATTTAATCATTTTTTTTTTGACGAAACAGTTTGACAAGATGGCGAAGTTATTTCTTATACTAGATTTTTTATTTCGTCGTTAACAAGTTTTTTAAGTTGAAATTAGTCAGAGTTCTTTAGCTATTTTTAGTAATCTCGATGACGAACGTTCGTTTGATTTTATCAACTTGTAGGGTCGTCAGAAATCGAATATGTTAATTGATCAGATTTTTTTCTTTTAAATATTGGACTTTGTTAATGTAAGTTAGTGCAACATGAATTATTAATAAGATACTTTTTACTTTAATAATGTTGTTTGTATGCTTGCTTATTATACGCATCACTGCTTCATTCACTACATAATTTTGTTTAAATTGTTTTGTAACACTACATTAGATGCCGTGTGTAATGAAAAACCTGTCATACAGTTAATATAAAAATTGATTTATTTTGTGTAGAACCGTAGCCATTAGTTTAATGTCGAAATTTATAAAATGATCACACACATCATGAATTCAATAATAGAAAAATATAAATAGGGATGTTCAATGTGTTTCAAATAAAAACGTACTGTAAAGAATTCAGAGTCAGCTCTTGCACGTATATGTATATAAGATTATCAACACAACTTTACCTTATGATAACTATATTGATTTGTACTTGCAAAACTTTTAAAATACGACTTGTCCATTAGCATTTACTTCTAAATTAAAACTAATGAATATCATTAATGGTATTAAAGACAAAATCGAAATAAAGAACAAATGCAGAGTATATATATATATATAGTCTCTTGCAGTTGTGGCTTGAATTATATCGGACAAACAAGCAGAAATTTGAAGTTTCGAACCAACGAACACAAAAACGCCGTCGAAATATTAAGAACTAGTGATTTGGTCTTGACGAAATGTGTGGCAAACTCTTTGCATAAAATTGAATGGGGTAAAATTCAAATACTTAAAGAAGTTAAGCTAAAAAATGAATTAAACATAAGGAAATCTCCAGAAATTGTTAAACAAAAATTCTTTTAAATACAGGTCTAGGCCCAGTTGCCACAGAAGTGAATGTTTGGAAATTTATTCTGTAGATGGCACCGTATAATATGCAAATTATACACGTGCACATGCTGGCATTAAAATAATAAATGAAATGTCCTCTGTTTCTTCTGGTCTCTTGAAGATGATGGAACCTTTTCCACAGAAACATGTACAGTTTTTAATTGTATATTCTACTTTTAACTTTATACAATAAATTATTGTACATTTTTAAACGTTGATTGCCCTTACCAATTTTATAAGGCCCATGTGATACCACAAGGATTTACTCAACACCCCTTATATAAACGTGTCAATGAGAATCTCCTCATTTATGATCTACGAGAGAATTACTCCTGATACAATCTTTTTAAATAATCCAGGTAAGTGGCCAAATTCTTTTGCGGTCCCGATCTTCCATCATTGATTTTGTAACCTATTGTTTTCTTTATCTTCCCCAAGGTCAGATATGCAGTAGAATTTGTTGACATCTATGCCCCAGTCAACGAATTGCTTCACACCCAACAAATGTTCTCTCTGATTTTTCTTTCTACTGCTCGGATTAAATACTCCTCTAAGCACTACTTTTCTGTCCATAGGCAGTTTCGGTTTCCATAAATTCCAAAAGCCATTCCTCTTTAAAAGGTAAACAGTACCTTTTTTTTTAGCAACTGTTGGCGCCTTTACTCCTGCTTTACGTTCAGGCATTGTATTGTTCAAACTGTAGATTTGTATCCTCCACACGAAACTATTGCCAACTGAATAATTTATGAGTGACTTGATATTTTCGATGCGTAGTACCTACCAGATTGCTATGCACCGCGTATGCCCGCAGCTTAGAGGGAAAATTGCATCCAAGCTCTAAGGTGTTAAGCGTAGGAGTGTCAAACGCAGCACAGAAGTAACTCCGTGATCATCCAAATACGTCTTAGGACATTTAGGCTGTCCAATGCCATAATGACATTTCTCTGCCGCCCTATACTCCATACCATGGAGAGTAGCTATTAGATGTCCATAACGGTAACCTGGATTTTCCCAAATGCATAACAAATTCCTTGTCCCAAGGATAAAGCAAAAACGTGGACATAGCTCTCATCATTGTCACTGAAAGCTTTTGGTCTAAGAGAGTGATTTTCTAAGCTTATTGTTTTCTTTATTCACAAGATTGCAGTAGAGTGATGTTGACTGTCTGCTGGGGTAAAGAGGAGGCTTTCCAAAAACATCTGTACAGGACAAGGACTAAACAAAATATAACATAGTACCACACTAAAAAATCACATAAAGGTTCTAGTGCAGTATCCCATAATTCATAGATGACTTACATAAATAGCTTTTCCAAATGATACGTAGATGAGAGAGAACTTCCCAACTCATAAAAACCTATACAAGTATCTGTGTAACATTCTGAGACGAGTTTGTCCTGCTTCAGTATATTGCTAATGATACTTCAATTTTTAAAGGGGGTAATAAGAGCCTGGGAAAATTTCAGAGTTTGAGAAAAGGAGCTTTGGAAAATATTTTACAGTGAAAGAGAGCTGACTATTCTGTTGACTTGTTTAAAAGGACTTGCTTGTTATTTGTATAATGGGAAGAGTGTGGATTATTATTTACATTAATGATATTGATAGGAGAATAATTAGTTAACCTTCCGAGTATTTCTATCTGCGTTAAGAATGTTCAAGTAATATAGAATGATATGGATTAATTGGTAACTTGGAGAAATATCTAGCAAACGGCCTATAATTATAGTAAGTGCAAGGTGATTTACAATTATAGTAAATGCGAAGTAATATATTTGGGTTATAATTTGGATCATATGGTTAATATTGATGGGAACTCTCTCAATAGCATGACTAAACAAGATGGTCTTGACGTAACAGCAGATGAGTCACTCAAGATATTGAGGGAGTACTTTGTTGCTGGTAACAGAGCTAAGAAAATTTAAGGGTGTATTCATAGAAATATTGATTACGAGTGAGAAGAGGTAATAATTTCTTTATATAAAGAACATTCTTCCATAAATCTCCGTGACAGTAATGGATTTCTTCAGAAATCAGAGAAAGTCTACTCATTGTCCAACAGCATCTACAATCGGGACAGTTCAGTTTTGTCTAGGTTATTTAGACTGTAAGTTAGTTTTGTTAGTTCCCTTGCATAAGAAAGTTATTGGTAAATTATATATCCTAATGCCTCACTTAAAAGAAGGAAAAACAAAAGAACGTATGATTTTTTTTTCGTTTTGATTATTACGCCATAATTATACAGTATCTAAATTCCGATTTGCTAATATAGATATATTATGGAGAAATGATCTCGTTGCAGGGAACTAGTACATTCTAGAGAGAGAGAATCAAGGAGCATGCTACATTTTAATCCGAACACTAGCATCGGATAGCTATAGCCCCTTGATACACGAACATTGTATTTAGATACTTGTGTTTCTTTCGCTTTTTCAGCAATATTAAAATATCGTAGCCACTAAGTTGTGATCATGTACTTTCGGGAATAATTCGTAAGAAGTTCATTGAATCTTAACATTAAAAAATATCCAATATTTAGATAAAATATATTAGTGTAATGACATTTTCATTATTCAACAGTACCCTCCACCAACTCTTGAGGTACTTCTGCCTGATCGAATTGCAGGATTTGACCATCACGCACACATGGTCCCAATGTGCACGTTTTTACAGCACCGTGTCAATTACCGCTAGTTCTAGGATTCACAGTTGGAGCACGCTAATTACTCGGCCATACCACGTCTATCATGGTTTCACATTAAAGATTTAGGTGTAAATTAGTAGGATTACGTACTTCGCTGAAACTGTTCTATCTGGCGTATTTTGATATAATTATAAAATTAAAAACGTTTCAGCTATAGTTTAGGTAACAGTTTATATGTTCAACTATCTTGATTAAAGAGCAAGCTCTTTTTCATACAGACGTTTCGTTTATCACTGGTCCTTGTTAAGATTATAAAGTAGTTTAAATGGATGACTCTGTCACACTCACCTAGAGTGTACTTCAACACATTGGATTTATTCGACATTTGGTAATTTTTTATCTGTTTTTGTTTTTGAGTGAACTATTTTTAACAAGCAAATAATGATCCGATATACAGATAGAATATAATAAGTGAACGTATCGGAACTTCATAGTTTTGTGAAGTTTCGTTTAGTCAACTAATTAACTAATTATTCTGTCAGTTAAATATAGTTTTGTTTGTTTGTTTTGTTCATGGCAAAACTACCAAGTTTATCTGCTGTTATTGAACACACGTATGACACATATCCTTTATTTTTCTTACTTCGCTTTATGTCCACCGGTGAGTCAACAGTAACTTCAAGGAATTATAACGCTATAATTCCGGGTTTTAAGTCGACAGAGCACAGATAGTTCATTGTATAGCTTGCTTTGTACTAAAAATAAGCTTCGCTTTATTTCAGGAACTTAACTGAATTTCTAAAATCAAACGAAAGGAACTATTCAACATAATTACACAAAAGAGTTAAAGTAATGCTATGCCACTTTTATATCACAAAAACCTTTACAAAATAACATAAAAAGGTTTTGTTGTTTTCATACATTTATATTTTTTGAGTCCCGACGCTGCTACGATCGTTAGGGCATCTTAGACGCTGATGCATTATTGGTGATTCTCAGTCAGATTTACCTACTGTCTCCCATTTCCTCTCCAGTAGCCTTTCCTAACTTAGCAGTAAAAGCCTAGAGGTAAGGAAGTTAGTCAACATCACTCACCGCCAACTCTTGGGTTACTCTTTTACTAACGAAATGTGGGATTGACTGCCCATTATAACGACTGTGGAGATACGAACCCACGACTCATAGTTTGCGAGTTAAGCACCTGACAACCAGGCTATGCTAGGCATTCATATAATTTAACATTTAAAATCTTTTTAACATATAGGTAAAAGGTCTTAAAAACCTAAGATATATTTCTTGATTTTTTACACTGATGAAATATTGTTGTGCTCAGAACGTAGGATTTCATTCTCTAAGGTTCTACAAAGTCATTGAATTACCAGAAAGGAAATATAGATCCAATGAAATATGTATATATATATATGTGTATGTGAATGTATGTATATATATATATATATATGTGTATGTGAATGTATGTATATATATATATATGTGTATGTGAATGTATGTATATATATATATATATGTGTATGTGAATGTATGTATATATATATATATATATATAGTGTATGTGAATGTATGTGTATATATATATATATATATATATGTGTGTGTGTATGTGAATGTATGTGTATATATATATATGTATGTGAATGTATGTGTATATATATATATGTATGTGAATGTATGTAT